CTGCTTTTTCGGAAGATGTATAACCTTCTATCTTTTACTATGGTTTCGTACGAGTTTTTGAGATGGTAAATGTGTTAGGATATATAAAATTTTTATATTTTTTGTTGATAATTAGTTTCTTTCGAGTGCATTTTCAAATCTGTGCGTTTTCAAAACCGTCATCTGAACAAAACATGGGGATCTTAACTGCTGTAAGAAATATTGATGAGAGGTCATCATTTTTTATGTACTCCCTCCGTTCTCAAAAACACTTCTTCTTTTATTTTTTCCACTTCCAACAAAACACTTCCCTTTTCTATTAAAAAACCACTTTTACCCTTACTTTTTCATACCCTACCTATCACATCATACTTTTTCTCTAATAATCTATCCATCACATCTTACTTTTACCCATCACATCAGGGGCAAAATTGGAAATCAACTATAATTTAACACTTCCTTATTTTTGCCCCAAATCCAAATGGGAAGTGTTTTTCCAAACGGAGGGAGTATAAAATTGGGGGCAATAAGAGTTTTTCATATTTTCGCCCATGTTAGGGGGACCGAATCATTGGATGTTACTCCGGGGTATTTTTTATGACTCAGAGATTAGTTCTTTCATTAATAAGAATCTTAAATATGTATACATTAATCCCCGTGGTTATCTGAAGCTACATGGGTGAAGAAGTTGTTATTCCAAAACTATCATTGACATCATCCGATACAAGAATTTCATTCAAGTTTCAAACACAATTCTCCGTGGTTACTTTGTACGCAATAGCGATTAACAAGAGTCAGGGGTAATCACTGAAACATGTTGGATTATTCTTACAGAAACCAGTATTCTAGGATTGAAAAATGATCTTAATTTGGTAATGTAAATATGACCCGTGTGCAATGCACGAGTGTGATACTAGTTAAAAGAATTCAAATTGATGTTTTCTATCTCCAAAGTTTATAAATTTGAATATCCACTATTGAATACTCCCCCATCCTGAAATGAATTATACTTATGCAAAACAAAGTAAAATATTAAATTATTTAAAGAGGATTTTACTTAAATAACACTTAAATATAATGATTTTTCCTAAATAGCATCACATGTGTTTTTTTCCCTATGTAGCACTTTTAGTCATTTAGCATTAGTCATTATTCAAGCAAATATTCACCATCACTGGACATTATCGAACATTATTAAGTGTTATTTAGGGAATAAAATAGTTTAAGTGCTATTTAGGGAAATGACTTAAGTTTTAGTGCTATTTAGTGTAAAAATTTCTTATTTAAATACCCCCTCCATTTCACAAAACTCTTACTCTTTCGTTTTTTTTGCTTTCCACAAAACACTTTTACCCCTACTTTTTCATACCCTATCTATCACATCATACTTTTTCACTAATAACCAAACTATCACATCTTACTTTTTTCTCATCACATCAGGGACAAAATTGGAAAATCAACAAAAATTACACTTTTAACATAAATTTATGGCAAAATTGGAAAGGCAACCAAAATAAACGATATGTTTATAATAAATGGGATAGGGATTATTTCAAATAAGACTTCTAACAAAACCATGTGCTTCTCGCCGCTTGATTCGCTAAAAACCGACGACCGCCCGTAGACACTTCCGGGGTCTTGTTCCAGTCTTCCCGTTCAACCAGCACCTTCTTAAACCCCCCCTCCAATTGTTTCTAAATACGGAGAATTGCATCGAGAGAAAAGAAACCCCAATTAGCTGTCGTTTTCGCACCACAATCACTACAATTTCCGTTTGTATTTCGCCCGAAAAGATTAAAGATGTGCAGAGGCTTTCATCCCAACGGGGGAGATTGCATAAACCTGCGAGCTTTTTACATCCACATATCCTTGCTCTCCCCACTGAGAAAATCCTTGCCCGAAATCTTGACGCTCAATTACCCCCCGCGCATAGACGAGAGCCCGTTGGAGATCAGCGGCTCCGGTGTCCGATCCAATGCGCCCGGATTCGTATCGCTCCACCGGGTTGTCTCCGCCGGCACGGCAGTGTATGGGAGCAGGGAGAGAGTGAAAGCCGGCGAGGGGGCGAGGTTCGAACTTTACGCAGGGGATTGCAAATTGATGAAGGGGATTTTCCGGAAAGACTGGGGAGACGATTCTTGGAAACTGGAGTGCAAATTCGTGGGGTCTGAGGAGGAGAACAGTTGCCTGGGAATCAAAGGGGCGGAGGTGCGCGTGTGGCTGGAGGGAGACCCGGCGGAGCCGATCACGGAGAGGGTGGAGATGGCGCATACGCGTCGTAGGAAGGGTTGCGAGAGGCTGGAGGAGATTCCGGAGGGAAGGGAAACTGAAACTGAGGCTGAGGGGTGTTGCCGGTGCTGCTGTGGTGAGGGAGAGGCGGCGGTTGGCGGAAGAGAAGACTGTCGGGTGCCGGCGGTGGAGGGAGTGGGGTGGGCGGTGGACGCCGGAATATGGATTCTTTGTTTTGGCGTGGGGTATTTGGTTAGTAGAGCTTCGCGGAAGAAGGTCATGAGAAGTCTGATGTCTTAAAGAAAAATTCACACTTGATATAGCCAAAGGATTAGGATTGTTGAGTGTGAGAAAATTTGTACAGTTACACTCTTTAGATTTAGCATTAATTCACTCCCATATGTTTTTTTTCCACACCATCTTGTTTTAATATTTCTATCACTTACCTCTTCGACTTTTTCACACTTTTCTAATTATTACTCAACTTTTTAATTGAGAAATACTAGATTCACAAACAAATTGACAAAAATTAAGTAATATAAAATAATTTTAAAATGAAAATTTAAATCATATATGATAAGTTTGTGAAAATTTGTGACTATACTGTTTGTGAACCAAACATTGTTCTTTTAATTAATTTTTTTACATGTCATCTCTTCATTTATCTAAAAAGATACTACCTTCGTCCCATTGTCTTTGTCCAGTTTTGACTTTTAGAACTGTTCATCTAAGCACTTTGACTCATCAAATTTTCTCAATGTGTAAGATTATCTTATTTGATTCGTCTTAACATATAGATTATTAATATATAATTTTTATAATTTTTTAATATACAAATTACAAGATAAAATAGATTAAAGAAGTGCATTGGATGGTGTGCCAAAAGGTAAGTGAACAAATACAGTGGGACGGAGGCAGTAAAAAAACATTGACGAATAAATTTTTTCTCTCTAGAAGAATAATATTCACTCTTCTCTTCTCTCTCCTTTATTATATCCCCCTTCATTCCTCTCCATTACTACCGAGTATGGAGTAGTAAATCTTTTAGCGAAATCCAAATATTTGAAACTTGAAAGTAACTAAGATTGGTAATAATGCTTATCCCAATATTTGAAACTTGAAAGTAACTACAATTGGTAATAATGCTTATACTGTCTTTATATTTTTAAATACCTGAATTATGTTAACTGCTTACTAGATCCTTATATATTTTAAAAAGTGTTTCATAAGTCTCTAAATTATATTTAGTTCCTACCAAGTCTATATACTTTGTAATTATATATTTTAAAAAGTGTTTCATAAATCTCTAAATTATGTTTAGTTCCTACCAAGTCTATATACTTTGTAATTGGTGTGTTAATAGTTCTTTCGGTGGATTTTTTCGCGCTAAAATTATTTGAGCAACAAGCAATGTTTGTTGTTTTAAAATAGATTTATAATATAACGTCAATTATTACAAAACTTTCAGGAGACTTGGTCTGAAAAAAGCCATTACCACTAACTCACCAGTTAAAATAAATAGAGATTGGACAAACACTAAAAATAATTTATAGATATTGTAATCGCTTAAAATAATTTTGGAATTTGTTAAGCACTTTTAAAAAAATATATAGGGACATTAGAAGCACATTTCCTTATAAGCACATTTCCCTTAAAGATTAAAATGTTCATTCCATACTCCGTATGATATATGTAATTACTTTTAAAATTTTGGGAGAAATGATGATATGATCCGAAATTTAAGAGGGTGTATTCAATTAAGATTTTAAAAGATTTTTTAGAATCCATAAACTATTTGAAATCTATGGATTATATTAATTCTACATAGAATTTGATAGATTTTAATGTATTTCATCACCAAGATTATAAAAGACTTTATGTGATTGTATAATTTTATTCAGAAACCAAGAGAAATTTGACGTTCTTCACAATTTTGAAGAATAAGCAAAATATAAGTGCATTCGTGCAGAGCACCTGCAATTGAAGATGAATGAACGTGGGTCAGTCTCAAATAGAAGCTAAGGCTCACGTACAATTCCAATCCAAACAAGAAATGAGTGGTACGCCCCTTCTCGCAATAGCAATACGAGGGTGACGCACTACTACACAAACAGGCTTTAGCATCGCTTATTTTGGACCTTTTGCATCGGTTGTTTACCGATGCAAATGCTCCGAGGCAATTGAATCGGTTGTAAATTAACCGATGCAAAAGGTCGGGCTTTAGCATCGGTTGTTTAGAAACAACCGATGCCAAACCCTTATTTTTTTAAAAAAAAAATAAGGCTTTGGACCTTTGGCATCGGTTGTTTAGAAACAACCGGGGCCAAAGCCTTATTTTTTTTAAAAAAAGGGCTTTGGTATCAATTGTTTCTAAAGAAACGATGCCAAAACCCTTTTTTTTAAATAAGGCTTTGGCATCGGTTGTTTCTAAACGACCGATCCCAAAACCTTTTTTTTAAGCCCTTTAAGAAAAGAGATAATTTGATGCATTAATTATTTTAATACAGAGTAATAATATCCCAATACACATATATTAAAACAAACAATAAGTTAGAACATCTTCTTTTAACTCTACCAGGAGTACTTCCCAATCCAACCCAACTTTTCTCTGTTTTCCCATACTTTGACACTGCATCATTGAATTTCTTGATCAGAGTAAAAATAACAATCCAATTTTAGTTCAACACTAGTGAATCATTACTCTTTCTCTTTTAATGGACCAATTAAAATAAAAAACATAAAGGATGGTAATGCACAAATTAATACTAGTAATTAAGAGGTGTCTCATGAATAAACAAAATTTAAAATATTGTTTTGGATAATTCAAGTCATAAAAATCAAACCGAAGTTTCTTACTATTTTTTAATAAAAGTGTGTGCATTTTATGGAGCATGACCAAGAAAGAAACAAGAAAGAAACAAGAGTAACAAAAATCCATAGCATTTCACCAAGAATACAAACGTTTGAAGGATTTAGTTGTTATAAATGTTAAATTTGGATGGAACTTAAAACAAATAATCAAAGAACATAATATGAGTTTGAAGAACTTGAGACACCAAAAAGAGATTAAGTACTTAACCCAATGAGCTTGAAACAAAACCCAATGAGCATAATTACAATACTTAATTACTACTACGATCATTCCCTGCGTGTGAAGTCAAAAACCTGCGCCTTTAAAAGGGTTTCCACCCTCCTAAAGTTCTGCTCTACAAAATCTTGTTAAAGAGAAAAAGAGAAGGCCATGTCAATAACCTTATATTGCCATACAAACCGGAGTCCGAGGATGTCATAGCACTCTCTAATGTGAGGCCAGAGCGCATTGAAGACCTGAATAGACCAAAGATGTCGTATCTCATTGCTGTTGTGAAACCCAAGGAAGAAGAAGACGAATCAGATTGGTTTACCATCTTGGCAGCAAAGCCCCTTGACTTCCTCCAAACCTTTGAGGAGGACCGGAGAAGGGGAAACAAGCTTTTTATTGTCTATCTCACTAATTTGACAACACATACTCGCATTTGGAGCTCTTTGAATGTGAACCCAAAAAATGCAAGTTTAAAGATTGTCAAAACAGTACTTCAAAGTGGTCCAAACAACCTAAAGGTTGTCAAATATAGGCCTCCTTGACAAACAAAACCTTTTTTACTATTCACAAGTACACACATTCCACTCAACAACTTGAAATTTTCAACAAATTTCGAATGGAATTGAAAAAAGGAAGGGGAAGAAAATCACCTCTAAGGCTTTAGATGGTTTTGACCAATGGATTGGAACCGTAAGTTCAGAGCCGTTTCCGGAAGGGAGACCAAATCTGCACCGCCCAGGAATTTCCACCGCCGCCGTCGAGTTCGCAGCTGGGTCTTGAACTGCAGCGAGGAAGTCCACCGCCGCCTCCTGTTCATGCCGCCGTCGAGAAGCCATCAAGTGTTGCACTGCGATCATCCACTCGCCTAGCCGCCACTGCTAAGTTCTTCATCGCCTTTTGTCTGGGTAGTGGCGGCCTAATCCATCTAGGTCTGCAGCCCCTTTCGGACTAAAGTATAAACTTGGTATTCGTAGACATTCAAAATATTTCAAACATTTAAAACTTTATTTCATAATAAATAATTCAAAATAGTAACGGAGTTATTTAATGTTGCAGAAACTGAATAAAACTCAATACAAACATAATAATTTTTATGTCTTTTAAAACATCAATTCATTTCATATAGCCACCCCGACCATCTCGCTCCCGTCTGCCTCCAGCATTCATCACTTCATTCTTTTTGTTTACCGGCGTGTAGCAAATAAAACACACTACACGCTCAGCGGTGAAGCTGAGTAAGCATATCTAAAGCGTCGAACATCCACATAAATTGAATCTCAATTCATCATTAACCATTTGATATCATGCACACAATATATGGTTCAAACATTCATAATATTTTCAATATTTTATTCCAAGACATTTGATATTTAATATATCAATAATGCTCTTAAATTATTCTTAATCTAAGACCACATCATTTTATATTTAGCTTTTAGCTATTTCTAGTCTAAGGCAGTAATTCTAACCAGACCCTTAAACTATAAATAGTTTAATGCAGAACACAAGAATTGATAATCCACCCTATGAGTCGTGTGGATTACGTACCAACCGAACAGTGATTTGTCGGGTGGGTGATATCCCTTTTGGATCCCGTACGTACGTTTTAACCCGAATTATGAATTAGTCAAGGAGGTATATCTTAGAGTTCTTCTAGATATCCTTACTAATTATCATCAGTATACAAGTGGGTATATCTTAGAGTTCTTCTAGATATCCTTAATAATATACACCGTTTTCGTGATCACTATTATATTCATTTTCCATTATGATTTAATAATCATTCTAATCAGTAGGTTTATCATTCATAATTGGTCACAATCATAATAATCATTCAATATAACATTTAATAACAATTAGCGGCCTAGTCTCAAGTGTTAACACCCGAACTTACTGTCATGCATCACATAAGATTTTATGTGTCAAAAACATCATTTTTATTGTACAAAATCATAATTATATTGTTCATAATTAATTGGTATCAAAAATAGGATTTTTGGGTTTAAAAATAACATTTTCAGAAGCATTTTCGGAGCATTCAGGTCGGGGGATCGATCCAGCTTGGAGGATCGATCCTCTTAACGATTTTCCTCCGAGGTGATCGATCCACAGTAGGTGATCGATCCACCCAGTAGAAATTCTTCTACTGCGGTGATCGATCCATCTTACTGGATTGGTCCGTCGGTTACTGTTCATTGTCTTCTACCTTCGGTCCATTTTCGGGAATATCATTTTTAGCTACCAAACTTCAATTAAACTATATAGAAATTTTCTCCAAGGTTCATAGATCATTTTAGTATAATTAATTCATGATTTTAACATCAAATTCAAGGTTTATGATTCTCGGTTCTTCAAACATGTCAAACACAAAACTCAACCAAATGACCATTTATAAACGTTAAAACAACCTATATGAACATTCTAATCTTTAGATATATCTACGGGCTTACCTCGAAGCGTATTGGAGGTTTTGAAGTTTTTCTGGCAAAACATCCGGCGAGGATTGTGCCTAATTCCGGCGACGGGAAGTTCTCTTGACAGCACTACTCCACTCTCTACACTCTTAGCTATCTCTTGGAAGAAGAATGGTGAAAAATGGTGAAGTTTAGAGAGGTTTATATAGTGGAGTGGAGAGGAAGAAGACACAGGTTTGGTGACATCCGTTTCCCTGTTCTGGCGTCTTGGTGGAGGGAGCGGCGATTGCTAGGATTTCCAGACGCGAGTCCCTGATTGGGACTAATTTCGTCTCATTCGGGGAACACTTTTTGGTCCAACTTTCTCCGAATTAAAATCCGATTAAACCGTTGGAATCAGACAGTCAAACTCTATATAATGATAAAATTTTATTATTTATTGACCAACTTTATAATTCACATATTTTTGGGTCCTTCTCAGTAATCAATTAATTATAAATTAATTAATTCTGATAGGCCTATTTTCGGGGCATTACATTTCTCTCTCCCTTAAAATAATTTCGTCATCGAAATTACCTGAGTCATTGATTGAAGAGGTTCGGATATTGCATTCTTATTGACTCTTCAGTTTCCCATGTTGCTTCTTCAATCGAGTGATTCGTCCATAGTACTTTGACTAGAGGGACTGGTTTGTTTCTTAGTTCCTTGACTTCACGTGCCAAAATTTGGACACGTTCTTCTTCATAAGTCAAATCAAGAGTTACAGTTCCATCGGTCAAGATATGCGATGGATCAGAACGGTATCGTTTCAACATTGACACATGGAATACATCGTGAATTTTGTTTAATTCGGGTGGAAGTTCCAACCGATAGGCTACTGGACCTACCCGTTCAGTGATTCGGTATGGCCCAATATACCTTGGACTCAGTTTTCCCTCCCTACCAAATCGCAGTACCTTCTTCCATGGTGAGACTTTCAGGAATACTTTGTCATCAACGTTGTATTCCATCTCACAACGTTTTAAGTCGGCATAAGATTTCTGTCGATCGGAAGCCACTTGCAATCTTTCTCTGATTAAACGAACTTTTTCTTCAGTTTCGCGGACGAGATCAGGTCCTTCAAGCTTTTGCTTGCTTAATTCTGTCCACTGGGGTTCTACAACGTCTTCCATACAAGGCTTTGTATGGGCCATTTGGATACTCGCTTGATAACTGTTGTTACAAGCAAACTCCATTCGCGGTAAATATTGTTCCCAATTGTTTCCAAAATTGATTACACATGCTCTCATCATATCTTCCAGAATTTGAATTGTTCTTTCAGATTGTCCATCAGTTTGAGGATGAAATGTTGTACTAAAGTTGAGTTTAGTACCTAAGGCTTTCTGCAGACTCTTCCAGAATTGTGACGTGAATCGAGGGTCACGATCAGAAATGATAGACAAAGGCACACCATGTAATCTTACGATCTCACGGATATACAATTCTACCAACTTTTTCAATGACGTATCACGTCGAATTGGAATGAAGTGAGATGATTTGGTTAATCGGTCAACAATAACCCAAACAACGTCATTCTTCTTAACTGATAATGGAAGTCCGATTACAAAGTCCATTGTAATTCGTTCCCACTTCCATTCAGGAATGGTTGGTGGATGCAGCAATCCACTTGGCACTTGATGTTCTGCTTTGACTTGTTGACACGTCAGACATCGGGTCGTAAATTCTGAAATTTCCCGCTTCATTGTGGGCCACCAATACGTTTTCTTCAGATCCTGATACATTTTATTACTACCAGGATGCATGGTATATGTGGTTTCGTGAGATTCACGCATTAAACGTTCTTTCACTTCACCACTAGGAACTACCAAACGATTCCTGTAGAATAAAATTCCTTCATTCACAGTGAAATCTTGTCTCTCCCCCTTAGAGGCAAGTTCACATGTCTTCAAACAGTAGTCGTCACGTTTTTGTGCACCGTGAATTTCGATCTCAAAAGTAGGCTGGATTTGGAGTTCGACTATCATCTTTCGGCTTAGTGCGTCAGCTACTACGTTGGCCTTACCAGGGTGATAGTCGATGTAACAGTCGTAGTCTTTGATCAATTCCAACCATCTTCTCTGTCTCAGATTCAATTCTTTTTGAGTTAGGAGATACTTCAGACTTTTGTGGTCTGTGTGAATATATGTCGTCTCTCCCAAGAGATAATGACGCCATATCCTCAGAGAAAATACAGCTGCTGCTAACTCAAAATCATGAGTAGGATAGTTACATTCGTGAGGCTTCAACTATCTTGATGCGTATGCCACGACTTTTCCGTCTTGCATGAGTACCCATCCCAAGCCATTATGAGATGCGTCACTAAAGATCGTGTAGTCTACACCTAGTACTGGTTGTGTCAGTACAGGTTCTTCTGCCAGACATTTCTTTAGTTTCTAAAAGCTTTGCTGACAAGCATCGGTCCATACGAATTTCACATCTTTTCTTAGAAGTTTGTTAAGTGGAGTTGCGATCGAGGAAAAACCTTCAACAAATCGTCGATAGTATCCAGCTAATCCTAGAAAGCTTCTCACTTCACGAAAATTCCTTGGAACCTTCCACTCGATGATGGCAGATATTTTGCTTGGGTCCACTTTGACACATTCTTTCGAAATCACATGTCCTAGAAATGTGACTTCATCAAGCCAGAATTCACACTTTGACAATTTGGCATATAGTTTGTGCTCTCGTAGTACACTGAGTACTACCTCCAGGTGTTTCGCATGGTCTTCTCGATTCCTCGAGTACACAAGAATATCGTCGATGAACACAACTACTTATTGATCAAGATATGGTCGGAATACACTATTCATGAGATCCATGAATACTGCAAGAGCATTGGTCAAACCAAAGGGCATCACTGTAAACTCATAATGACCATAACGAGTACGAAATGCAGTCTTTGGGATGTCCTCTTTCTTGACAGGAATTTGATGGTATCTTGACCGTAAGTCAATCTTAGAGAATACAGTAGATCCTCTAAGCTCATCAAATAAGTCATCGATACGGGGTAAAGGATAACGACTTTTGATTGTGACTTTATTTAATTGACGGTAATCGATGCAAAGTCTCATCGAGCCGTCTTTCTTCTTTACAAACAGAACGGGTGCTCTCCATGGGGAAACACTCGGTCGAATGAATCCTTTATCGAGTAATTCTTGTAATTGAGCCTTCAATTCTTTCATTTCAGCAGGGGCCATGCGATAAGGAGTTGCTGATATCGGTCCTGTTCCAGGAACAAGATTGATGGAAAACTCTACTTCTCTAGAAGATGGGATTCCAGGAAGTTCTTCAGGAAAAACATCTGGAAATTCACAGACGGTTGGTATGTTTTTCAATTCGGGAGTTTCCTTTCGTGTGTCGCGTACGTTACACAAATAAGCCTCACATTTCTTTCGAATTAGTCGCCTAGCGTGTATGTACGAGATGAACTCAGTGATTTTAGGAGTTGGCTTTTCCTTTACTTCTAAGTATTTTCCTTCGTTGGTTTTCAGCTGTATCACCCGTTGTCGGCAGTCAATAACCGCTTGATGTTTTGTGAGCCAATCCATTCCAAGGATGATGTCGAATTCTGTGTACAGTAACTCAATGAGTTGTGCAGAGAATCGTTGTCCTTCAACAATCATCGGACAGTCTTGATACACATGCTCTAACCTCATACTATGTCCTAACGGGTTTGACACCAGTATAGGTTGTTTTAATTTTTCTTTCATTATGTCAGATTTTTCAGGCATAGGTACGCAGATATAAGATAATGTTGATCCAGGGTCTATTAATACATGCATGACAGTATCAAATAAGGTAAACATACCCTGAAGAACGTTAGGGTTCTCCTCAGCTCGTGCCTTCATTGCATAAGTACGAGCAGGAGCTCGTCCTTGCTGCTGATTTTGATTCTTGGCAGGATTAGACCCTGCCGTTGATCGTTGACTAGGCGCAGGTTGTGCTGAGGCTGATTGACTGGCAACTGGGGCTGTTGGGAATGGTTTTCCAGGATTAGTGGGGCAATCCTTTCGGAAATGTCCATATTTGCCACATCCTAGACATAATCCTTGGGCAAGCCAACACTCGCCTGGATGATGTCTGTTAGAATAAGTGCCCTTCACTAGAGGGGGGGTGAATAGTGAGGCACGAGAATGTTTATAAATTTTCGCGGAATAAAAATCGCAGGGATAAAGTAAAGAGCGGATTAAAAAGGAGTAAAGGGAGCACACCAAGATTTACCCTGGTTCACCACAACTTGTGGCTAATCCAGCCTCCCGAGAGACTCTCTCGAGCTACACTACTTCCGTTAAGCTTACGGGTGCTTAACAAACCGTTACAACCTGAGAACTCGAGTCCCACGAGCCTCAATACACTTGCTCGGAGATATCGCACTCCAAGACTTCAACCCGAAGGAAAATACCTTTCCTTCGTACAACCAAGGGAAACAAGCTTCCCTAAACGTGTATACAACTCTAAGAACACTCAAGAACAAGACTCTCTTTAAGAGTAGATGTTGAGTAAACTATATACGCTCAAGAACAACTCAAACTTCACAAATTGGCTCTAGAAAGCTATGGAAAATAATGTTGTTTGGATGCAATGATAATATGAATAAAGTGAAGTGAATTGATGTGTAAAGCAGACCCAAACACCCCTTTTTATAGTGCCAAAATAGGCTCCAACGGACCAATGCATTAAAGGGGTGATTGGCTTGATTTATGGGATTGAAANCCAACGGTCATGCCTTCCCATCGATGGTTAAGCCTTCCCATCGCTGGGTTCCCATCGATGGGTAAAGCTTCCCATCGCTGGGTAAGGGCATTCTGCCTTGTGTGATGTTGGACCAAGGCTTTAACATCGATGGGTAGAACTTCCCATCGCTGTTTGGCATGGTTCTGGAAATTGGTTTGGCTAAGGGACTGCTTACCCATCGATGGGAAGATCTTCCCATCGCTGGGTGACATGATTCTAGAATCCCGGGATCACTTACCCATGCATGGGTAAACTCTACCATCGCTGGGTAGATGGCTAGCCCAGAACCATGGCCTAGCCGACCGGTGCTCAAACCCGACCGAAACATGCAAAGTTCTCCAAAGTAAAAACTAAGTATTTAAAACACTTATTTAATGTATTGTGATGTCAAAACAAGCTTTGTAAGTTGAAAACCACGTCGTTAAGGTAAAGACCATGGTTGACCAAGTCAACACCGTACACGGGTGGTTTTCACCAAAAGACAAAACCGGAAGGTGGTTTTCATGATGTTTTGATTGGAGAACCATTTAAATGCATTCAAAAACAATTCCCACAAAAAAGACTCGAAAACCACTTCATCTAAGTGAAAACCACGGCTAGCCAAGTTTATGTCGTTTCGCGTGGTTTTTATCAAACGACAAAAACGAAAGGTGGTTTTTGAAGTGTTTTTGATGGAAAACTATTTAAATGTGCCCAGAAGTAAAAAAAAATCATAAAAATTTGAAAACCACTTGGTTAGTTCGGACGCCAAAAACCAACGCCAAAAACCGAATGCCGAACGCCGGTTTCTGAAACCCGAACGCCGGATGGCTTGATTTTTGGATTGGGCGAACACCAAGTGTTTTTAATGTTTTAAACATGTTTGAAAAACATTTTTATGATGTGTGAAATGCAATGAAAAGAATTTTAGCCTAAAGAGCCAAGGTGTAAAGGTTGGGTCGGTCTTGATCACGATTATGACCGACTCAACAACACTAAGACTACGGTCTTCGTTCTTGGTCTTCTTTTGGGTCTTGTTCTCTTGCTTTCTTCTTATATTTATTTCTCGCCTTGTATATTCAATAACTTGTCTCGTTCACGGCGGTTTGGCATTATCAAAACCTGTCATAAAAATGAACACGGCTTTAGTACGAAAACACGATAAACTTGTGTTTCAACAATGTCTCCCACATGTATCACACAATGGGTGTTTCCACCCTCTTGATTTGTTTTCCGATGCCACAGAGTGTGTCTGTGCTGATTTCCCTTTCTTTGAGAAGTGCGAACTGTTAGATTCTTGGAAGGGCCTTTTCCCTTTTGAGGCAGAGCCGGTGGGACGGTGAGAAGTGCGAACTGTTAGATTCTTGGAAGGGCCTTTTCCCTTTTCAATGCAAGCACTCAGGTCACTATCTGCCCTAGCTATGATTTCGTAGGCCGCCGCAAAATCCACAGTTGTTAGGACAGACACCCGCGATCTAAGGTCAGGTCGAAGTTTCTTCCTGAACTCCTCAATGCGGTCGGTTGGGGTACTCAATAGAGTTGGCGCAAACTTTGCAAGTTTAGTAAACTTCTGGCGATATTCTGGGAGTGTCATATCTCCCTGTTGCAGTTCAACAAATTCTCTACGTCTATCTTCGCTAAAACGTTTAGGAATATACTCTTGTTTGAATGCCCACTCAAAATGTGCCCAAGTCCACGGCTTAGGGGTTTCCACACTCATCGGTTCTCTTCCACCATTCGTAGGCTTCTTGTCGAAGCAATTGTGAAGCCAATCTGGGATAATTGCCGATGGGTACGCTAAGGTCTTCCAACACTCGAGGCGTTTGCTTGTCTAGTCCCATGCAATTTGGGCTTCACCGATGCGATCCCTGAGGAACAATTCCACACTATTATCCCTTAGCGTTTTGTAGGTTATCACACGGGGTGGCGGTGGTGGAGGTGGTTGAAACATTGGTGCATTGGCTATCTGTGTTAACACATTGGCCAGGAACGTGGGAATCACAAGGTCGGGTTGTCCACCAGCGTTTAGATTATTCCCAATGTTTTGCTGATCATTGGGTTCGTTGTGGATAGGAGGAGTGATGCTGGAGGCTTCAGTATGAACACTGACGTGTTCATTGTTTCCTTGACCGTGGGCAGATTCTTGACTCATTCTACAATAACACAAATTCCTTTATTAGGATTCTTTTATTTAGTAGTAGAGTTTAAGAAAGGAATTGTAAGGATTACAACTGTCGATACAATTAATAGTTTTGAACAATCAACAAGATAATTTTCTAAACGTTTGCGTTTGATTGGTTGGGTCGAGATGATTCTACAGTTGGGTCTTCCACGCCCGATCCACATATGCTATTGGCAGAGTCTATGCTGAAGGTTTCTTCTGGATCATCTCGTTCCCATGCAGCCTTGCGGCGTATATAAATCCTTCTTTTCATTATTCTTGCGAAGCGATGGGCGCGTTCATAACGTATCAGCGAGTCATATACATTTCGTTTGTTCTTTCATCTTTTACCATGTACGAAAGTGCGACTTGAATCAACACTTGATATCATTTCCGAATTAACAGTTGACATCTATAAAATTAAATACAGTCAATTTTAAAACTCAATTTTTTTTATTACCTTCCCGGAGCAGAGGGATGCGAGAGTCGTGGATGTGATTAATTTTTTTTAATAGAGCCGATATATATATATATATAATACATATATATATATATATATATATATATATATATATATATATATATATTTAAATCCATGTTTTGATCCGAAGATCAGTTTTAAAACCATTTGCTCCGATACCAAATTGTAATACCCTAATCCGTTTAGGTCTGTAGCCCCTTTCGGACTAAAGTATAAACTTGGTATTCGTAGACATTCAAAATATTTCAAACATTTAAAACTTTATTTCATAATAAATAAATCAAAATAGTAACAGAGTAATTTAATGTTGCAGAATCTGAATAAAACTTAATACAAACATAATAATTTTTATGTCTTTTAAAACATCAATTCATTTCATATATCCACCCCGACCATCTCGCTCCCGTCTGCCTCCAGGATTCATCACTTCATTCCTTTTGTTTACCTGCGTGTAGCAAATAAAACATACCACACGCTCAGCGGTGAAGCAGAGTAAGCATATCTAAAGCGTCGAACATCCACATAAATTGAATCTCAATTCATAATTAACCATTTGATATCATGCACACAGTATATGGTTCAAACATTCATAATATTTTCAATATTTTATTCCAAGTCATTTGATATTTAATATATCAATAAATCTCTTAAATTATTCTTAATCTAAGGCCACAACATTTTATATTCAGCTCTTAGCTATTCCTAGTCTAAGGCAGTAATTCTAACCAGACCCTTAAACTATAAATAGTTTAATGCAGAACACAAGAATCGATAATCCACCCTATGAGTCATGTGGATTACGGTGGGTGATATCCGTTCTGGATCCGGTAGGTACGTTTTAACCCGAATTATGAATTGGTCAAGGAGGTATATCTTAGAGTTCTTCTAGATATCCTTACTAATTATCATCAGTATACAAGTGGGTATATCTTAGAGTTCTTCTAGATATCCTTAATAATATACACCGTTTTCGTGATCACTATTATATTCATTTTCAATTATGATTTAATAATCATTCTAATAAGTAGGTTTATCATTCATAATTGGTCACAATCATAATAATCATTCAACATAACATTTAATAACAATTAGCGGCCTAATCTCAAGTGTTAACACCCGAACTTACCGTCATGCATCACATAAGATTTTATGTGTCAAAAACATCATTTTTATTGTATAAAATCATAATTATATTGTTCATAATTAATTGGTATCAAAAATAGGATTTTTGGGTTCAAAAATAACATTTTCAGAAGCATTTTCAGAGCATTCAGGTTGGGGGATCGATCCAGCTTGGAGGATCGATCCTCTTCACGATTTTCCTCCCAGGTGATCGATCCACAGTAGGTGATCGATCCACCCAGTAGAAATTCTTCTACTACGGTGATCGATCCATCTTACTGGATCGGTCCGTCGGTTACTGTTCATCGTCTTCTACCTTCGGTCCATTTTCGGGAACATCATTTTTAGCTACCAAACTTCAATTAAACTATATAGAAATTTTCTCCAAGGTTCATAGATCATTTTAGTATAATTAATTCATGATTTTAACATCAAATTCAAGGTTTATGATTCTCAGTTCTTCAAACATGTCAAACACAAAACTCAACCAAATGACCATTTATGAACGTAAAAACAACCTATATGAACATTCTAATCTTTAGATATATCTACGGGCTTACCTCGAAGCGTAATGGAGGTTTTGAAGTTTTTCCGGCAAAACTTCCGGCGAGGATTGTGCCTATTTCCGGCGACGGGAAGTTCTCTTGACAGCACTACCCCACTCTCTACACTCTTAGCTATCTCTTAGAAGAAGAATGGTGATAAATGGTGAAGTTTAGAGAGGTTTATATAGTGGAGTGGAGAGGAAGAAGACACAGGTTTGGAGACATCCGTTTCCCTGTTCTGGCGTCTCGGTGGAGGGAGCGGCGATTGCTAGGATTTCCAGACGCGAGTCCCTGATTGGGACTAATTTGGTCTCAGTCGGGGAACACTTTTTGGTCCAACTTTCTCCGAATTGAAATCTGATTGAACCGTTGGAATCAGACAGTCAAACTCTATATAATGATAAAATTTTATTATTTATTGACCAACTTTATAATTCACATATTTTTGGGTTCTTCTCAGTAATTAATTAATTATCAATTAATTAATTCTGATAGACCTATTTTTTAGGGCGTTACACTTGGTACCCACTGCTCTTCACGCTCGGAATTGAGAACGATCTACCAAGACTTCTCCGATTCAGAGCTAGGGTTAGATCGTAACATTCACACGAGCCTTCTCCGATCTACAAAGACTTCTCCAATCTACGATCTACAAAGACTTCTGAGACGGGGATAGTAAATCGCAGAGAGAAAAAAAGTAAGGAGTTTTGTGTTACATATGGACTTCTCAGCATCGGTTTGGAATAAAACTGATGCATAAAGACTATAAAATCGGTTATACACTAAAACCGTTGTATTTGATTAAGAAACGAAAAAAATAAAAAGTGACATTAGCACAGGTTATTTAAATTAAGAGATGCGATTGATCAATTGTATCGGTTATTTTAAATAACCTATGCTAATGGTTTTTTTTTATTTTTTGAAATTTAAAACTGATATCAATGGCATCGGTTCTTAGTAATAACCGGTGCTATTGATCTTTTGCATCGGTTGTTTTAATCACCGATGCAATTGAGGTAGTCTATTTGCCTGATTCTGTAGTAGTGACGGACAAGAAAATGGGGTAGACCGTGGCTGGAGAAAGCTTCCTTGGTCAACAATGGTGTTAGTGTTCATGCGCCCGGCAACACTGCGGAAGCTTCGAATTAAAGCCAAAAATTGAAATTGGAATGATAAGAGAGTGCGAATCACAGAGGAGAACATGAATCAAATGTTAATCAGACCAATTTGTTAAGAGATGGCTTCCAATCGACCTTTGCAATGGATGAAGGATGAAGAAAATAGACAATGAATGGTTGCAGCCACTCTCCATTAAAATCTACCGGTGTGCCCAGGGATTTGTTGGAGTTGAAGTCTTCGTTGATACACACTCCGTATTAGGAAATATAATCAAAACATGATCAAATAGCTAGTAGCTTAGTGAGAAATGATGGAGTTGAAGTCTTCGTTGGGCACTAACTACTATAAACATTGTCATAAGTTGGTTCTTGAGTCTAATAGTAGTATCACACTCGTGCGTTGCACGGGTCATTTTTATGTTATTAGATTCAAATCATTTTTCAATAATAAAAATGTGATGCAATAAAATATAGAGATTATATTATTTTAAGGTAAAAATATCATTGTTTTACAAATTTCGAAAGACTTCTTTATAGACTATATTATTGTACAGTTTGTGGGAATATGTATAGTATATTTAATTGTAATAAACTATAGGCTATTATAATTATAATAAGAAGGGTTAACTTTTTTCGAAATTGGGTGTATAATTATTCTTACCATAATTATTTTTTTTGAAATTGGGTGTATAATTGTATAACTTACCTTTTTTAATTATTTCCAGTTTTCAAAAACTTACTCTTTGCATTTGTATAACTTACCTATATTAAAAACTTACGCTTTGGATTTGTATAACTTACCTTTTTTTAATACGGTAATTATTATAAATATAATAATTATATTAACTTTCAATGGCTTACCATTTTATATTACTCATTTTAATTATTATAAAAATAATTATATTAACTTCTCATGGTTAAAAATGATAGTTACTTATTCTTACCATAATTTCAGACGTTTCCAATCAGTAGTCAAACTAACGTTGGTTAATTATTAGCATATAATAATACATTGATTCTAATTTTATTAAAAACTTACGCTCTGCAATTTTATAACTTACATTTTTTAATTATTTCCCATTTTCAATATGTTAATTATTATATATATAATAATTATATCAACGTCACGCTTACCATTTTATATTACTCACGTTAATTATTATAAAAATAATAGCTATATTAACTTCACACTTACAATACGTTAATTAATTATTATAAAAATAATAGCTATTATTATATTTATACCTTTTTTAATAATTATAAATGCACAATTTCGGCCACTTACCATTTTAACATCACAATTATTTACTTACCTTTTGGCCATGTTATAATTATTATAAATATAATAATTATAATAATTATTACTACAATTTCGGCCACTACAATTATTAACTTACCTTTTTTAATTAGTTCTAATTTTCAATACGTTAATTATTATATTTATACCTTTTTTAATAATTATAACTTCACAATTTTGGTCACTTACCATTTTAACTTCACAATTATTAACTTACCTTTTGGCCATTTTATAATTATTATAAATATAATATTATAATAATTATTATTACAATTTCGGCCACTACAATTATTAACTTAACCTTTTTAATTATTGCCAATTTTCAATACGTTAATTATTATATTTATACCTGTTTTAATAATTAGAACTTCACAATTTCGGCCACTTACCATTTTAACTTCACAATTATTAACTTACCTTTTGGCCATTTTATAATTATTATAAATTTAATAATTATAATAATTATTACTATAATTTCGGCCACTTCAATTATTAACATACCTTTCGGCCATTTTAACTTACCTTTCTTTAATTATTATAAATATAATAATTATTACTATAATTTCAGCCACTTACGATTTTAACTTCCAATTGCCATTTGTAATTGTCATACTCTTTAGGCGGGAAAACCATATGTTGACAACATGTCTTTTTAAATAAAGTATGGATTAATTACCAATTATAAACAGTGTCATATTATTTTTTTCCTTTTTTAAAATTATTACGTGTTAAAATTGGTTATTACCGTGTGATAAAAAAGAAAGAGTATTTATTATAGCTTTTAAACCATTTTTTTAGATTAATAATAATAATAATTTTTTAGATTAATAATATCCCGTTTTTAAAAAGTAATTTTTAAAAATCAGAGATAAAACTGTTCGTATTCAAAAGGAAATTGGGACTTAACTTTTTTAATTATTTCCAATTATCTTTTTTGTGAAATTAGGTGTATAATTGTATGACTTACCTTTTTTAATTATTTCCAATTAATTGTTTTTTGCGAAATTGGGTGTATAATTGTATAGCTTACCTTTTGTAATTATTTCTAATTAGGTGTATAAAAATGACAGTTACGGTATTAAAATACCGTGTGATAAAAAAGGAACAAATTCCGAACGGCCCTACACAAAAAAAAGAGGTTAAAATAACGTGCAAAATTGTACAATTAGTACACTGCATACGAATTGATAAATTAAGTGTGATAAAAAAAGGAACTGTATTTATAACTTTTAAACCATTTTTTTAGATTAATTTTTTAAGATTATTAATATTACGTAATAATTATTTTTTATGTTTATAATTTCACGTTTTTTAAAGGCATTGTGTGTAAAAACTAATATTAATTTTAACTTCATAATAATTAACTTGTCATTTGTAAATGTAATAACACATGAAAAATTAAGCACAGGCGCAAGTTTTTAATAATAACTATTATATTTTTGGCAACTTACCATTTTAAGTGAACAATTGACATTTGTTAATGTAATAAAAATTACCATTTTAAGTGAATAATTGCCATTTTTTGTAAATGTAATAACGCATGGAAAATTAAGCACAAGCGTAAGTTTTTAATATTTATTATTATATTTTCGGAAACTTACCATTTTAAGTGAACAATTGCCATTTGTTAATGTAATAACACATGAGCGAGAAAAACAAAGGCTGACTCCATGTTTTTTTAAATAAATTATGGATAAAGACCAACATTGTTAAGCATCTCTTTGGTACATGAAATTAGAATTGAATAGGAATTCAAATAATATGGAATTGAAGAGATGACGATTGGACTTGTGTTTCCATCACATATCCCTCATTAATGCCCTCTTTTTTTGGGTTAAAGATTAAAATAAATTGGTGGGAAAAAACTGAAAAAAGTTATAAAATATTGCAAGAATTAACTAGTATCACACCCGTGCGTTGCACGGCTCGTATTTACGTTATAAATTTATATTGATATCATATTTATTGCCACCCAAGTATGAAGTTATCCCCCATCATATGTCCATATAAAAATATACCATCTATAAATAGTATGTATTTTCCATATATACGGAGGATTGTTTTTTCCTAAAATAATTATCATTATATAATATATGCACCGAGATTACCATATGTAATAATAATGTTTTCCATAATAATATATGCACATAAGATTTATTTGAATCTCTAGTGTATTATTCTTCATAGAATTATCTCCTTATTTCTTTTTTTAAACTTTTACCATTTTTTACAATTATTTACTCCTTTCATTATATTCGCAAATATGTAAATAAAAAAATCTTTAAAAACGCTTTTTATATAGTAATCAGTATTATTTTGTATATACAATAATGTACCGAGTACTATTTTATATCCGTATTTTATTTCCTTATTTATAACAATTTTTATATTTAATACTAATAAGTATTATTTTTTATATATAGTAATGTAGTATTGTATATACGTACTATATTAGATTTTTATCGGATCATGTTACAAATCTTTTAAGACAATACCATTAATATATTAATGTTTTTAG